AAAAGTATTGAGGCTCAGTCGAGTTGAAAAACATTCGAAAGTAGAATTTCGCGCACTAGGTACAAGAATAACATTCTTAGAGTCATAGAAAAATCCTTATAGTACTACAGGTCATGCGGTACATACCCTCCAATTGGTACATCTCATGGAGAGCTTCTTGAAAATTTCTAATTTGTAAGCCTCCACTTAAGAAGACAATACTTCTCTATCCTGATCCTTTATAAGGTTGTTAACAATCTAATTGACTGTGCAGATTTGTTGGAAAAATTGAATTTCATTATTCCGAGATTATCTTCCAGAAATTGTGACACATTCTACATAGAGTTTCCTCGAACCAACATATATGTAAAACAATCGGGCAACCAGCCACTCCCATTTCACCTGAAATGGGATTTTGTTTTGGAGTGTTTCTTTCCTTGCCACGTGGCGTTCGGCGTTCGCGTTTTCATTGCGCAGACATCGAACGCCTCGTATGGTATAAATGCTGAGATGCGTTTACATTGGGTCAGGTTCGCACCAGATAGCGGTCAAGAAGCAATCTGGGACAGCCCTGTACTGATGAGAGCCAAGAGCTCGAAACCGGTCTGCAGGTAGTCAGCGTTCCTGAACCACTTAAGCGCAGCACAGCGTTTAGGAAGGAAACACTTGCGATTTTATTCGTTTATACGAACTATCGCATAGGTTTCGGGAGGATGTAATGCAATGTTCTGCGTGGCATATAGTCAGGAAAGTAGTTGTTTTTCTCTCGTTATCTACCATTGTCGTTCATTTTATGAACTAGTTGTGGTAATGACTTTGAGTTTCTCTCTTTGTGACCAATGCATTCATTCCACTTTGAGTATTTGGCGTTTTCCCTAGTTGATATATATGTAAAAATTCACCTTTCTATAAGATGCGTAGTACATATAACTTGGTGGCTAGGAATCTTGATCTGTTCAGCTGTGAAATAACTCATGTAAAAACTTTTTATCTTTTTTCTCCTTCATCATCAGTGAATAACTAGATAGTCAGAATATTTTTATTTCGTCATATTGTTTCGTCTATTCATTATGCTTATGTAATATGCAATGCATATGTTTTTGTTTTGTCCTTTGTTCCTGTTCTGTAGATAGGGCAACCTGTTGAACAGTGTAAGAAATGAATAAATAAATAAATTAATTGAAATTATGAAACTCTTGTATATTTTTTGCTCTACTACATCTTACTACTGCTCAAATCCACTCGTGCATAAAGTTGAGTGTATGAAGTCTGTTTATTGAAAAATGAAAAGCACTCCACGAAATTGTGAATTACAGTTCCACTGATGCTGACGTACGAATATCTTTTAAGTTGTGTTTCCCTTATTTCTCATCTCGAGAGTATGTAGAGTAACAATAAAAAATAACGTTTTATCTAAACTTTCCTGACGCATTATACGTGAAGACCAACAAGCACATTTTTTATAATTAGCAAAAAGTCTAGCTCTCTGGGAACATTAACGTTGTCGCTCCGATGCGTGTCGGACGTTTCACAGTTCTACAGTTTTTCCAGTATGATGAGTTCTTTGTCTGGCCCCATTTCGTGTTTCGTTCATGCTCTTTGATTAAAGTTGACGGACCGACAGGGCCATTCCAGAATCATTTGCGTTGCGTCAAACCTTCAAGTCATTCAAGAGTTATTGGACATAGTACAGGGCGTCTCTTAAACCGTAAGACATACAGGGTCGATTAAATCATAGCAAACCTACTGAATTCTTTAACAAAATACCGTTTTGGATCTCGAAAATTATATAACATAAGTACTTCCAAAGATATTTGAAAAAAAAAAACGATTATTCGCGATTCAATTTTCATTTTTTTAAAACTCTATTGAAATAGATGTAGCGAAACAAATCGCACATTCTAATTGTCACTTTTTTTTCTTCTTTAAAATGGTATCTTCAACTTTGTTTCTTCAGATACAGCCCTAGATGTTTCATCATGTATTTCGAGAGCTCTTGAACCAGCGGTGTATCACACTCAATCTGAAAATTCATAATAATTGCATTTTTCTTAAGAAACCATGTGTATATGAGAGACATAAAATAAAGTCTCAAAAGGAATAAAAACGATCACCTTTTCCAAATAGGTGCGATACACAATAATACAGGGCCGTACTTTGAAAAACCAAGTTGATGATGGCAGCTCAAAGACAGATCGTCGGTTTGAACATCTGATAACACCATCTTGTATAGAATAGAGAAAATAGCAATGAGAATGTGAAACGAGTTTTGTTCCATCTATTACAAATACAGCCATTATAAAATAGAAATGAACTCGCGAAATTCCCCTTTTTCTATCAAAAATCTTTGAAAGTATTTGAAATTCTTCAAACTTCAAAACGCCATTTTGTGGGGCATTAAATTGTGCATAATTCAACCGACCCTGTATCTCTCACGGTAAACGAAATCCCAATGATGAGGCTCGAATTCTAGCGACCCTGTACACACAATCATGAAAACTCAGAGAGAACTCGTGTACATCAGTGTAAAATTTATCCAAAGTCAATGAGAAAATTTTCAACACTCTCATTCCTCCGTTCAGTTTTTCAGATTTCATCGAACAAATATTGGGAAGTACCAAGCTCATCAAGATCGGAGTTCATAAAAGTGTACTTCTTCCATACATTTCAATTTTTATTTCAATACTGAACATATTGGTGAGTTATATTTTAATAACATCACATTATTCTATTCGATCTGAGAGATAATGACAATTCTCAATTTCAGAGGATTTTGATTTTTCATGCTCTCATTTTTGAATAAACAACAGATATAATACAATGTTCGACGTGGCAAATAGCCAGGAAAGTAGTTGTTTTCTGTTGAATATTCAGAATGATATTGTAACGATATTCCCATTAGAGGGGCTCTAGAAACATCAGCAGGAAGGCAGGAGTACAACGATCATCCTGTAACACGCATCCCAGATTGTTCTCCAACCTCCCAATGATTCCTACATGCACCAGCAAATTTCCGAACACTCAATATATGCCGCGGTGCAAATAACATGACAGAAGATTCTGGAATGTTCTGGGAACATTCGATGGAATAATTAGAGAGAGGTATTGTTCTGAAGGAGACGGAAGATCATTCGAGAACGTTCTCGAACCAAAGCCTACCAATGGATCTCATATATAAGACGGCCGAACAACTGTGTCAGTTATACTCGAGCAGCGAGTGTCAGAAAGGCAGTCATATACCGCGGAATCATTTTATTATGATGCTACTATTCCTTGAACTGTCAATTCTCATAGTCAAGTTCAAGGAATAGTAGCATCATAATAAAATAATTTTTTCAACTCCAAGTAAGTCAAGCATGAAATAGGTAATTCTTTCACTTCAACATCAGTTGTTTTTGTATTGTAGACCTCTCAATTAGGCTGAAGATGGTCTTTTATAAGAACGAAACATGTCCCTCATGATTTAGTAATGATATAATTGGAATTTGTGGAGATGACTTCGAGCATTCCTTCCTTCCTGTGAAATATTTCACTCCACTTTGGGCGATATGTAATTCTACCAAAGGTTTTTCTTATAGTTTGACATCTCGCAGTGACATACTGATGTTGACATATGGATGAGTGATGATGTTATACAAATGAGTTACAGAATGTTGTTATCAACTGATCTCAAATCTACCATTTTAATGTTCAGTTTTTAGTAGTGAATACCATGTTCTATCTATATCGACTGAAAAGGAAGCAATGCTATTATCTACGTTAAGAAGAATGCAAGCGGATTTCTTGATTTTTCTCTTTTGATTGTTCCTCCTTCCTTTCCTATCAACCTACAGACAGTATTTGATATCATTCCGTATTTTTTTGGAAATGCACCAGATGAGATTTTGAAGAAAACCAACGAAGTGCCAGTGCAAAACTGGTGCAAAACTATGCGCCATCAGGTTAACGAATGGAATTTGCTATTTGTCTGTTGATGTCGCCATCATGACGTCCTAAAACTTTCAACGTAACAATGACGACACTAATTTTTGGGTGATGACATGGTGGAATTATTTTCACCATGGGTGATGACGTTACTTTTCAAGTTTCACCAATTTGGGTGCCTCACACCTATGTCATCTGGTTTTTCGTTATTGTTTAAAATAAAATGATACTAATATTCAATAGAACGATTGAAGAATACTCCAAACATCTAGAGAAATATTTGGTACGTTATGTTTCGATAAGTTTTATAGATCATAGGATGTTATGGTCGTATAACCGCTATGTTCGAGCATTTTAGGTTAGATTAGGACACAAAGAACCATCGGGGCACAGAGGATTTCTTGATAATTTGTGTGATTACATGTATACCGCTAACTATCTGCATTCATATGTGTTCATTTTCTCTGAATCTTCAACTATTCATAATCCCATTTAGGTAGTTTTCCACACTTTCATCGCATCAATTAAATATCATGACGTGGAATTTGAATTGAACTTCTTTCTGCATTCAATGAAGTGATCAGTAAGCTTCAAAAAGGATGAAATAGTTCAATGTGAAGAAACGCTTCAATATCATAAACTGAAATTATAACGAAATAATGTATTTGGTTGCCAACTGGGTCATCTGATCTCATGAGACGTGTTCAGGTGGTGGTGAAGAAGACCAACTTCGAGAGCTGTGGGGGATGAATTTAGTCTGTTTATTAATGTTATGTGCATATATGTACAATTGAGCCACATACTTGTTATATATTCAATATGAGTTCATAATGAGATAAGTTCAAGTTTCAACCTGAACCAATAGTTGAATTCTGTCAAGCATGACCATTGTTCTTCATGTGGAATACCAAATCAATCGGTGGCATATAGTCATAGCTTCAATATATATCAAAAGAAGCAATTGATCAATTAGGATTATGAGAATACGAATTGATTCGTACCCTCTGTACTCCATCCTTCCCTACGCCAAAGAGGATGGAAGATTCAATTGAAATATTTTCCTTAACGTTTCCCAAGGTTGATCCTGTCGTACTTACGTGAACAATCTAGGTTCTCATCGCTTCCATCTCTGCAATCTTTGATGCCGTTACAATATTTCCCTACATCGATGCAATCCTTGTTTGCACACTGGAATTGAGTTTTTCTGCAAGTCGGGAAGATGCTCCAAGAGGTCGACAAGACTGTGATGATGGTGAAAATTTCAAGCAACCTGGAATTCAAAAGATGTCTAGATACAGAAATGTCATGCGTGTGATGAATCATCGTGAGGCACTATCATGGTTACATTGTGGAGCTTCTTAGGTTATAGTGACAAAAACGTCCAGAACCTCAACGCTGTTATAGTCCATAGGCGGATGCAAATTTCGAACGTCATCTGATAACGAAATGATATAATGTTCCAGAGGAAAGGATAATAATTTGAAAATTCCATCCAGAAATGGGTCAAACTGTAAAATTATGAAAGTTTGAAGCCTTTTGCATAAAAATTTCCTATTGTTCAACTTCGATAGGTAGCACCGTTCTAGGGTAGAATCGATTCGAACATTACTTCACATGTCATAAAAAGTCATATGAAATCAGAAAAATTCAAAATTTGGGAAAGGCTATACACATCCAGTATGTTTGGACATTGTCTATATGAATGAAAAACTACCTAACTAGGTAGAACGATAATGGTTAGGGAAAAAACAATCAAGACAGGTGACATGAAAATTCATTGAATAAATGACAGAAGCATTGTAATTTCATTCAATCTATGGAAAAATACTCATTGGATTTATCTGAGCGACATTTTTTTCAGTCAAGTAATTGTTCAAAGTGGATTCCATTTTGTTGAACGCATACTGGGGCCCGACGACACATAGCTTGAGAAGCAAGCAAAATTTGAAATTGGTTTGTTCTTATTTCATTTGCAGCCTCATGTTTTCAGTGGTGTACAACAGATAATTCAAATTCTCCCAATCCATTACGACCGATCTACAGATTAGGGAAGATTTCATTCAACCATGTTCTTACATTTCGCGCAAAATGAGCTGGCGCCCCATCATGTTTATACCACATCATGTTTCGCAAATTCAAGGGAACATCTTTCAATAATTCACCGAGATTATTTCGGAGGGAGTTCAAGTAACCATCGGCATCGAGGCGGTTGGGAAGTTCCATAGGACCAATTAGTTGACCACCTATTATTCCTGCCCATAATTAACTGAAGATCTTCGTTGGAAGCTTGTCCGTAGTACTCAGATTAGATTGATATGGGGCTCATGTGCTACTAGGAGCCTCTCCACTGCGACCTTTACAGATCTATTGTGTGTGCCCTCATGTTATGTTAGAGTTCCTTGTCTAAACCCATCCTTATTACTAGACTCCATAGGCCAGACCTCAGGTCCTCCATATATTGAGAGGGCTGTGGTTTTTCCTCCCCTATCGTCGAAAACCTTAGCCTAGTCAGGCCTTCGCAGTAGCACAGTATGTGTGCTGAGGTTTCCTCATCTTCTTGGCAAAACCTGCATATGGTTGTGTCCGCCAATCCGATGTTGTTCATGTGTTTGTTGAGTCTACAGTGCCCTGTCAGGAGCCCAACCAAGATCCTTGTTGTTCTCCTATTCTGGCTTAGTAGGTACTCCGTGAATTTTGGCAATGGTTCTTTAATGAACTCTTTGGCCTGTCTCATTCCCGGCGCCTTGTTCCACCATTCTCGAGACTGCTTCTTCATCCAAGTGCTGTTATTTGTTCTTTGCAGCGCTTTCGCTATACTACAGAAAGGTTCTGGACCGATAGGAGCACATCTTGCTCCTTCTCGGGCTAGTGAGTCAGCCTCTTCGTTGCCCTTGTAGCCTGTGTGGCCTGGTACCCAGGCTAAGTACAGTCTGTTTTGACTGCCCAGCTCTTGTAGGGTTTCCAAGCAGTCCCAGACGAGTTTGGAATTGATCTGCATGGAGCTGATTGCTTTTATAGCCGCTTGGCGTCCGTAGTACTCGGTCGTACTTGTGATTTTCGTTAGCCCAGATATGGGTGTTAAGCATATTGAATGCTCCGTCCTTGGTGAATGTGGCTTCATCACTCCATACAATGTGAGGAAGCAAATTTGCATGATTCAAAACCCACTGGCAGAACTGTACTATTGGCAAAAAGTCACGCGGTTCTAAGTCATGCACTCGTCGGATATGGTATGGGTGAATTCCCTGCATCCTAATCATTCTTTCTAGCCAAAGAAAGGCACGTTCCATTTTAATTTCATGAATACCAACTCAAATCATCATTAATTACTGTTGCTCGCGGTATTTGCATTAATCTGGATACCGTTCTGATGCTTATTTGTGGGACATCTTCGAAATGGTTCAAGACATTTTCAACTGCGTTTCAACAAGGTATTCATGCTCAGTCGCCAGAGCACGGCCATTAGAGAAGCCAAACACGAAGTGCATGTCTGCCAGCTCTTGATTTGTGAAACGTTCTATTTTCACAAAACATCTTCTTAATCAGCTTTGAACACAACTTTCAAACTTTTCAAACTTATTTCATGTATCTGTCACCTGTCTCGATTGTTTTACCCAAACATTGTGGTCGTGTACCATAGCCTACGCTAAAAAATTCTATTTTTGTAAATTCATTATGAATTTTTATGACATGTAAGGTTGTTTTCGACAAGATTTTACTCGAGAACGGTGCTTTTAATCGAAGTTGAACAAGAGAAACTTTTTCATGCAAAAGGCTTCAAAGTTTCATAATTTTATACTGAAGTTGCGAAAAATCTACACTCTAAAAAGTTGGGGTGATTTTACCCCTCACCCCCCACAGTTTGACCCATTTCTGGATGGAATTTTCAAATTATTATTATCGCATATTATCAGACATGAAAAAATTGGCCGATTCACAGAATTTCATAATTCTGCTACTTTTTTTTTTTTTTTCAATTGACTTGGCCGTTACTTGATGTAAATCCATGATAAATGTAAAAACTTCACAAACGATATGTCTCAAACAAAATTACTTTCAGTTTGACAACAAGATATATTCCGCGTCAAAAGGGTTGATTATGGGAAATCCACTGAGCCCTTTACTTGCTGAAATCTTCATGGACAACTTGGAGTGAATAATACATGAACATTCATTAGTAAAACAATGTTTGTATTGGTATAGATACGTAGATGACGTTATAGTATGCTCTAAAGGAACCAATAGACAATTAGACACATTTCATCAATATATATAAATACTATTCATCCAAACATTAAATTCACAATAGAAATAGAGACTGAAAATTCAATCAATTTCTTAGATTTGACAATAAGTAAGATTAACGATAAACATGATTTTTCAATTTTCCATAAACCTTCCCACACTGATATCACTATTCATAATAATTCAACACACCCTTATCAACATAAAATTGCAGCATATATAGCAATAGTATGATACACAGGCTAGTGAATGTCCCTCTTTCGGAAGTAAATTTCAATAAAGAACTCAATATCATAATAGTATATTATTCAACAAGCATATAATGAGGGCTATTATTCACGAAGGTTAAGTTCATGTCACGAGCGTAGCGAGTAGCATAATCAACCTGAGTGAATAATAGCTCATTATATCCGAGTAGAATACTATACTTTGTCCACGACTACTGTATTGTCATTTATATATGAATTTATTCTCAACAACTGTTTTATCATAACTTATTTGACATTAGGAAAACTAAAAATTGAAGATATCTGTTATATTGATTATTTCTAGAACTATTGGACCTATTTATTCAAATTGATTGTAACATTTATATTCGTACAATGGGTAATATTGAAAGAAGGTAGGGAGTTTATATCTAAATCAATATTTTGTTTGCTTATAGAACTAATATGATTGAAATTATCAGTTGGGTAGTTACAAATATTAGTCTCCTGTATCGAGCTTGATATTTTTTTAGCTATATCCATTTTATCCGTGTCTCTTCAGTGTTGTTATGTCTCCACCTGCATGGACGAGTAAAGGTTGCAGACGATCTTCGGAAACTATGTCCAGAATATTTCTCTGGATTCGGCAGATTCAAAAACTCAGCTATTTGTCTTCCCATTTCTGTGAATTTGTTAATACCGATCCTTTGTGAAGTGCACTTGCCATTTTGGTAATTTAGAAAAAATACATGAGAAGTTACATATGCCGGACGGAGATCGATGTATTTTTTACAAATCATGTAAAAATTATCAGTAATGGTGAATTTTCTGGTGATTTTTGTTTTGGTAAATGGCACGTTTACTAAATAGGCTGATCCAAGGTCTTTTATATCCTCTATTTTCATGTTATACATTTCATTTGCGCGGCATGCACCCATTATTCCCATTATCATTGTGACCTGATAACAAAGAATTTTATTTCATTAATGATATTCAAGCAAGTTTTTTCCATGTAGCTGATTTCTTACCTTCATTGCAAGATATTTCTCATCACATGCCTGAATCAAAAATTTGTTTATTTCTTCAGATGAAAATGTATTTGCTTTTTTCGGATGAAAGCCTTCAGACCTCCGTTTTAGAAGTGAATGCAGTTTTACATATTTTTCTATATTGATTCCTTGATTTATATTAAGCGAACTCCAAAGCATCGAGTAATGTGTCCATAATGTGGATGGCTTATATTTTGCACGAGATTTTGCATCTAATTCCGTGAAATATACAAGTAAAACTGACTCTGAGAATGAATGAATTTTCTTAGTCGCCCTCCAGTCCATGAAGGTGTTGTACACAGATACATACAGATTTCGGGATTTCTCCGGCAACAAATTCATGGACGTGACTTTTGCAGCTTCTGTTATTTCTGGTGGAGTACACAATTTCTCTTCGTCACTATCAATTTCCATTTTTTAGGAATTAAAACTGAAGCACCGCGTCGTTGATATTTGACGTTTCAACAATGACAACTATTTATGATGAGCTTGTCAAGTCATACATGTCAATGGCTTACGTACTAAATCATCTTCGATATAGTCTATTTGATACTAACATTATCTCATTTCGAGTATACATACATTATAAAAACAGATTAATGTAATACTGAGTAGGTAAATGAAGAAATTTCTATGATTTTAACATGATCCAAATGGAGTTAGCTAATTAAAGTGCCTGGCTATAGCCTAAACGTACTGATAAATGCTTGCTAAATACAAAAATATATCGCGTACCCTACGAACTCTAGACCAGTGAATAATGATTATTC